TCGTGCTGACTAGCTTAACTGGAGGAGGAGCTGTAGTATTCTTGGTTCCATTTGAAGGAACAGAGCCGACGTTTGCAATATCATCGTGACGCTGAAGAACACGCTGCAAATTATCGTTCAATGCCAATCCCTGACAAAGAAGTTCCTCGTCTCTGGAGAATAAAACACAAAGTTACTTTCACCGTTTAGCAAAACCCATCAAATGGGAGGAAACAGCAGCGGATGAAGGAACTTACGTTGTAGTGTTCACAAAAGTCATTACACGTCTTTGATAAGTGCGACATTGCTCGACTAGGTCAACTATAAGTTCTTCTTTCAAACTCTGCACCAACATCCGGAAGAAGCAGCTTCCATTACTTTAAAGAAAACAAGAATTTCTTTCTATTCATGCAATAGAGTAAGTAAATTCCTACCTCGGGATTCCCGGGATCAAGTGCTCCAAGCATGTCCATCAAAACATCAACTGATCCCTCAGCCCTTTGGATCTCTTCCACGCTAAAAGACATTCAAAATATCAACAAACTGCAATAGACAAAAAAAACGATATCTAGCAGAAGAGAGTACCTGAGGCTAGAAGCATCGTCTCCTTGCAGTAACGCCTGAATACCATCATCTTCATCTGATGGAGCGACGTGTGCAGTGGACTGATACTGAGGTGGAGTAAAGAACGATAAACTACTTTCCGTTCGAGGTGGAAACTCAATTCCAGCAGACTGAATTTATCAAAAGGTGAAAAACCATTTGTCAAAAAGCTTATTGCAAATTAAATTATCATACTCATGAAAAAAAAAAAGACTCATCTCATGTTAAACATACCCTGAGCTCATTATACGCATTGTAGTATTGCGGGTATCGACCATCACGTCCACCAAAAGCTTCTTGCCATGTGTCTAGCAAATTTAGAATCTTTTCCCTCACATTCAGGTCCGGCTGCATTATTATGTTTGGAAACTTACAAGGTAACCAAAGTTTCCAGAGATAGAATTGAGAAACTGAGATATTAGAGACAGGTGATATGTAGGAAAACCTTTTTCTTCACTATTTTGACCATGTCTATCAAAATATCACGATCAATGATAAGCTGGTACACGTTCTCGCCACAATTCTTACTTAAAGTTTCCAATGCCTACACCAAAAAACCCCGACCATCATTCGACAATGAGGTCAACACATACATGAAACCAAACCAAAGCATTGATGAACCCAAGAATGTAGAAACAAGTACTCACATAAAGTGCAAGAATCTGAACTTTAGAGTTTTTACTTCCTAACCGCTTCTTGAGCACCTTCACTGCTTCTTTTGCTTGACTAATGCATTAAAAATATGTCAAACTATTAAAGCCATCTGAGAGTTTCGTTATTACTAGTAACTACAAAAGATGAAACAAATATACGCGAAAAACTTGGCTCTCAAAATATTTTACCTAGGATCCATGTTGATAATGTCACACAATTCAATGTTAATAGCCCAATCTGGACCAATCAACATATCATTTGTAGCTCTTTCGGCACATGTAGCAGCATCATTTGCCATCTCTTATTAGATCAAGTTCCCAAAATTTCCCTATAAGTCACAAATCAAAGACACCATAATCTTCTTTAGTCCACAACAAACAAATTTCAAAAGCTTAAACACATCACTGGAATCAAAATTGTTAAACTAAACGAAACATTGGCGATTGCAACAGAATAAGTACCCTCAGAACTCAAAAGACCTAACCGATTCCAAATCAAAATCGGAAAAATTGCTTTTAACCCATGAACAATTAAACCAGAAATCGATCACTGGGTTTGTCTTTTACAGTGATCGGTCACGATTTCGAACAAGAACAACAAAAAAAAAGCAAAGAACTTTATACCTGTTGAGACCTAAGAAACCCAAAAATCAGAGCAAGAGAAGATATTTGTAGAATTTGAAGAGGGTTTTTGGAGAAAATTTTCAACTTTCTTATTCCTCGACTCGAATAACACGGTAAGGATTATTCAGATGGTGTCAATGTCAGGTCAGACTTTGGCCGCTAGAATCAAAACTCCGACTTTTCTGCTTCTTAAGGCAAAAGTTGCAAACTTGTGTTTTGGGTTTTCTTTTTCTCTCACTTTTGCTAATGTCACTGTCGGTGATATTAAATGACAAAGTCACCCGTCGACTTTTTAAGCATTTTTAAATTACATCTTATTATAATTAGGCAAATACTTCGTGTCGTAATTAAACAATTATTAGAGAGGAATTAAAAAAAAAAAAACCTACGAAACGGCGTCGCTTTCTCGTATAGGTTTCGTCGTTGACTTGGACGAGTCCCAAACCGCTAAAATATAAAACGCAAGAAACAAAGAAACGCGTTTTGGATCAACCATTTTGACAGTAAACTTTTATCATTAACCTCACCTGCAAAAGAACAGACTCAATTCTTCTTCAACTTGAAGCGCAGATAAAGTGACGTTGATTAGTTATAGCCACAAGCAAAAACATAAGATTTTGATTTATACATTCGATGGAAATCGGTAAACTTTTATCGGTTTATGTTAGCGAAAGATGAAGTGTTTATCTACATATAAGAACATCATTGACTCTATAGATTACATTACATAGGCTTACAAACAAAACTCAAAAATATATGAGGAAGAAAATAGAATCTTTGTTGTGGTGGTACATTGAAGAAGAATGATCATGTCCTCTCCTTTCATCTTCACCGATCCTGGATTTATTCGGAAACTAGGCTCGAGTGTTATATGAACCGGTTAGTCTTCTTGGAAAGAAGAGTATAAACAAGTACCAATGAAGAAATTTTCCATTTCAATCTCGAAGATGTACATTCCATAGGAAAGATAAGCATCCACTGTTTTCATCCCTGCATTTAAAACCCCACAATTCGAACATTAAAACACCGAAAAAGTTGCAGAGATGGGACAATAGATTGTGTAGGCATGAATCTAGTTTCTATTGTAAACCAATCTATAGTGTATACACAAGCACAGGATTAGAATCTTCAGTCACAATCTTTCAACAACAAAAAAAAGTCCAAATCTTGAAGTCAAAATCTCGTGCAACCAACACATCTACATTGACCCTTTCCATGACCATTAACTTCAAACCAACCACACACAAAAAAAAACGACCAATTTCACAAAAATCGTTACACGATTCACATGTCGGAGAGTAAAGAGTTAAAGCAAATCAAGAACTTGATGCCAAATAAGTGCTACAGATTCTTAAGGAAAGTGGCCCAAATCGCAATTCAGTTTTCAAACATCTAAACTCTCTAACCATTTATCGGATAAGGCGTGCAATATGATCAAAGATTTCTAAAAAAAAGCCTTAAATTTCCCATGGGTTTGATGCATACCTTAGACTTCTTCGGCTTTGATCGCTGTTGCTTCTACTGCTACTACCACCACTGCTCTTTGAACTCCCACTATTGATCCTTGAGACACCTCTCTGACTCCTACGCGATTCGGACAAATCACTCTTCCACCAATCTTTATCCTCTGTTTTCATCGACAACGACATATCAGAGATCGAACGTCTAGGCGAAATCCAAGATCTTTTACTTGTCACAGAAGAAGAATCATCCTCATCTTTCTTCTTCGTCTTTCTCTTACCACCAAAACCAACAGGAAACACCATTTTCAGAAGAAACCCACTGTTGTTCGGATCGACCCATTGATCACTCTTCATCTTCCTCATGACTTTACTCTTAGGCTTGTTTTTTCTCTGAGGCATTTCGTCGAACGTCTCCCGATCTTTCTCCTCCTCTGTGTTAACCTCGACTAGATCCTTCAACGAAAGCTCGTAACACGACTCGGGCATCTTGCTAACCATTTCCATAAGCTCTCTCTGACCACGAGCGATGATCTGAGCCTTCGAAACAGGCGAGAGGTTCTGGTAATTGCTTTGTCGGTGAGAAGGACTCTTCGGTGGACTGGTTCTCCACAGAGGAGGCGAAGAGATGCCGGAATCTGGATGATCATCGAAAGTTCTGGGAAAATTCAGATGGGTATTGAACGATTTCGAGGAAAGATCAAACATTTGCGATAGTGATTGTTGATCTGTTGGGAATTTGATTTGAAGAAACGAAACAAAAGATGGAATTTTTAGGATTTTAGAGAAGGTGATGAGTCTTTAATTTGTTCACAACTTCACAGAGAAGTCCCGTTATACACGCTCTTTGCAGCCACATTATTGTATATTTCTACAATTTATAAGATAGGACAAATAAATTGGAAAATTAATAAAGGAAGAAAATAGTACTAATTATTTGGGTTTAGGGTATTATTGTTTTATTTTGTTCCATTTTGAAACTAGGTCTAGTGGGCCATTTTCTTCGATTTTTCGTAGAGATTTAAAATCGATTTTTAGTAACTCAAAACTCCAATATAAACCTTTTTCAAAAACCAGTTTCATAGAGATTATAATATCACTAGAAAAGGATCCGCGTTAACACGCAGATAAATACTATAAAAATTAATAAAATATATATTTATGTTTTAATTAGTACCCGTTAAATTTTAAAATACTATTTAACGTGGATCCTAAAACCAGTAGAATTCAATTTATATCATAACTCTAATGTTCTAATACATGCAAATCCAAAAATATATATTATCAGAATTTAAATCATATTCTTAATAACAGAGAAAATTTATTTTAACCC